TGCTCATTTTATTCATCAATTGTCACGCGCCGCGAAATTAGAAGGGGTAGGCCCTCGTTATGCATCACCTTGTATAAGTTTTCTTAATTTCGTGGCGCGTGACAGTTGATGACCAAAATTCGTATTATTTTGAAAGGCGAATATTCCCTATTTGACGATAACTCAGTGCACAATACGGATATCAGAACCGTTCATACAGCGTTGGAGAGAGCTCGATGAGGCCTTTTTTATTCATCAATTGTCACGCGCCGCGGAATTAGAAGGAATGATCCCTTTTTTGCGCCACTCTGTAGATGGATCCCTGATGCCCACGAGCTCACCAGTGGTGTTGTTGTGCCAATAGGACACTCCGCTGCCCTGCTCCCGTACCACACTCCATTCATCAGAAACAGGCACCACGATAGAGCTAGCCTCCTGCTGTCCCCGACCACCGTTGCGAGCCGAATCGTCAAGGAACTCCTCAATTTCATCATCACTAATATGACCATTTCCCTGCTACAAGAACAACACTCAAAGAGCTCCTTACTTGCCATCAGGCTGGCCTTACCCTTGACTTAGTTTTCCTCGCCAACAGCAAACCATTCACCATCTGTCTGAGTCCCGTATAAGCAGCTCCAGTGTGGTCATGGTCTGTTGCCTCAGCCGGCCCCGAGGAGTACGACTCTAGTCGAATACGATGGGCCGGCACGTTTGACACAGAACCTGTTGAGATGCGATATTATAAAGGACTTCTGAACATTTCAAGTCGTCAACACTGATGAAAAAACGCCGATTACACCACGAAGTTCGCGATGAGGAAAATGAATGTCGTAGGAAAATCCCAAACATCTCGGACGTTCAAAGTCAACGCCCATGCTCACCAGCGTGATTTCGAGAGGTAACTACGAGAGGGTCAGGCCCCTCCGCGATGAGCAAAGACCCCTTAGGGCCAACGTGCTGCCCTCGCCGCCAGTCCCCAGTCAGATGAGCTTCCCTATAGCCATTGAACTCCATATTGCGCATTTCTTCCTGGTCCTGCAGATACAACGCCAAGAGACGGTCATTTTCAATCTGAGTTGCGACATCAGGCACCTGACAAT